CAATGAATTAAAACGATTATAATATACTTGAACGCAATGTAAAACATAAGTTTCTAAAATCAATAGATCCTTACGAATTCGCTGCGAATTGTTGCGATTTGTCCCGTGCCAAGTCGAATTTGTACATGGTGGTGTTGTTGCGATTTAGATTTTCGCCGCGGTACTTCTTAATGTCAAAATGATGTGTTTGTTGACAAATGAATTCACCTTGTTTACAACAAAGACATCAATTTGACATTAAAAAGTACCGCGGCGAAAATATAAATTCGCCAGCAACATCACCTTGTATTAATTCGCCTTGATAAATGATGTACCAGAAGGAAAAAGAGCGAATTAATAATTGGTTTCACGCAAGGCGAATTTATACAAGGTGATAGCAAGAATACAAAAACAAATATTGACATGTATTTTGTTTTTCTTTGGCGGCATAAACTGTAAAAATCTGTATGAGTGTGTGTAGAAATTCAAACAAAATTTTTCAATTTGACATCAGACGCCGTCCGGCGAAATTCATACACAAAATCACTTGATCTAGTAACATCACCCTGTATAAATTCGCCTTGCGTGACACCAATTATTAATTCGTTCTGTTTATATCTGGTAACATCATTTATCACTTGTTCGTGCATATGAATTCGCCTTGGTGCTGTTGATTTCAAAACTTTTTGTGCACAATTTGCATAATTCCATATAAATTTTATCTTGCCTCAAGTTATTAGTTTTTTGAAGTATTGTTGATTAGCTATGGAAAATAAACCAACGGTGCTTGTATTGGGCGGTAAGTAGATAAATATTTTTCTGAATTTTGGAAGGCGGAGCAGTTTTATGCAGATAATCCCGATTACAATTAATATTTATTTCTTTGTGTTACTATCTTTGGTAATACTATGCGTGCTAAAATTAGGGTGTGGATTTATCGGCCGTAACATGGTGGCTTATCTCGTTGAGAACGATTTGACGGATGAAATACGTGTAGTGGACAAAACTCCACCGCAAATGGCTTGGTTAAATGAGCGTCATACTCGGGCATTTGATAACAAAAAAGTGGAATTTTGTAGTGCCAATCTTATAAACGCCGGTAAGTATTAAAACCTGCCCATATTTGAATATTATTGTGAGTAATGCCTACGCATGACCAACCCACACAATTTGTATGCACGCCGCGCAGAACTTGCTTGGCCTGTTGCATTTCATTATTTACATCTTGATTATCCTCCTTGTAGCCTCTTGTAAAAATGTTTTCGCCCCACACCCAACCACAGGCAGGACGTGGGATTTAGTATTCAACTGTGCGGCTGAAACTCGTCCAAATCAAACCGAAGCGGTCTATAAGGAAGGGATACTGAAATTAAGTATGAACTGCGCCAATGAAGCAGCCAACGTTAAAGTGAAACGATTTGTCGAATTAAGTTCCGGTTGCGTTAACAGTTCGGAAAAGGTTGCACAAAGAGAAGACTGCAAACATGAACCATGGACTTGTGTAGCTAAGCAAAAGTTGACGGTTGAGCGTGAGCTCGATACGCTGAGTGAAGTTCTGCCATACACTGTTGTACGACTGCCAGTCGTCTACGGGTTAGGCGATAAACGCTACTTAAGTGAGTGGTACTTATTGAAAGTAGATTAATCTGGTATTTTATTTATCACTGTCTGATTATTTGTTGTTCATTTGCAGTGCCTCGCATTATTGTAGCTGCAATATACAAGTATTTGAATGAATGTATGAAGTTACTGTGGAACAATTCCATGCATCTTAATACGGTGCATGCAGATGACGTTTGCGCAGCAATGTGGTTTTTGGCAAATAATCTAGCTGCAGTAGGTGAAGTAATTAATATCGTCGATGATACTGATTCCACACAAGGAACTATAAGTGATATTTTATCAGACATATTCTCAATAAACGTTGACTACTTTGGCGTAGTCATGTCGAATTTAGCAAAGGTATCAAGTTAATTCATAATGTTATTGTGTCCTTTAATAAATTGTCTTACATTTTGCAGTTAAGTCTATCAGACACGGTTAGTGATGTCAACGACAAACATATGACGCCGTGGGCCGAAATTTGTCAAAGGAATGAAATCAATAATACACCTCTAACGCCATATTTGGACGAAGAGCAACTGTATCATAAACATTTGTATTTGGATAATACAAAATTAAAGACTTTAGGCTATGTGCTCAAAGAACCAAAATTAACGCGTGATCATGTAACTGAGATTATCGAAGACTATATAAAGCAAAAGTTATTTCCAAAGTCCCTAATGATCTAAACTTAAGCCCTGCAAACTTTAGTACTTAAGGTCGAAACATTTATAAGACATGACTCAACTCAATTAAAATGCAAGTATGTGAAAACAAAAATTGTATATAAACTGATATTAAAATAATTCAATATTTTGATTGTATTTGCTAAGAACAAAATACTAATTTTTTGTACAATTATTGTACCATGCTGATATTTTCTAAAGTGTACTTATAGTATTACCGCATAGTGTGTTATTGTATTTTGGTATTCCAAAACAAATTTTAATGGTTTTACTTATGTATGTATGTACTCGTATTTACTAAAATGATTGGTGATGTATTATAACATTTTTAATATACACGATGAATGTATTTTGTACAATGCAATTACATAGTTTGTCATATAAATGTGCCAAAATAACAAAAAAAAAGTATTTAGAAGCTTTTTATTTCGAATTAAAATGTGGGATTAGCAGTAAGAATACCATTGACTTTACCCATGAATAACTTTTAGCACTGCAGTCCATGCTGGTGTGAATAAACGACCCGAACAAAGGGACGACACTGGCAAAGGACAAAAATATCCGTGATGAATTCTGTCCAAGAATTTGGCATACATACAAGGTATGCATATCGTCGTTTAAAGTACAAAACCGCATATTGTGGTTCTGCAAAACCTCTTAACTAACATTTGTGCCAAGAGACATTTGCTCACCGGAAGCTCCTGGTATAAAGCCCTTATCCCTTCATATTAAAATATCGATACTAAGATATATGAAGAAAAGATAATTAGATGAAAAGAGGGAACCGTTTTGCAATAAGACAAGTTTTACTCCTATTGCCAAACTCACATATGACGTATTGCATTTTATTGATACGCGGTTTAGTGCTTTAAACGACGATACCTATACCTGAAGCTTTCTTACCGCTTTGGAGATTTTTTTTACCGAGGATGAAGTAGACAGTATCTTTGCAATCAAAATTTCGGCGAAAACCACGGAAATGCAGTTGCCAATATAGCAACTTAGTTCGCAACTTTCTGTTGCCAGTTGCCACCAATAATACCAACCGTAGTTCCGTTGCAATCCGTAATCGACCCAAAAATGCGTGATATTTTTTTGGGGCACTCTAGTTAAAAAAATATATACATACATATATACATTAGATATGATAGAATTAAAATTTTTTAAATTTCCATTTCAATTATTCAACTCAAGTTCAGCTTTAATGGACGCACTGATCGAGGAACGGTTTAGTAAGCTGGTGCGAAAACCCCAACAACTATTTGCATACTACTAATAGATCTAGTTGATATAATTTCATCTAAAAGAAAACACAAAATGCTTGTTTAAGATATTTATGTATTATTTTGTTTTATTGTAAGGATTAAAAATTTACGGCAATACAGCTCATTATTTCTTATATTCCAATCTCTTTTATTTTCATAAATCAATTTACAATAAAATGCATTTGCTTCACATTTCAAACTTAAATTTATACAACAAAATGGGACTATTTAAAAACGGAATAAAACATGAATTAAGTTTAATACAGTTGTTCGGATGATTCTTAGTTTGTAAAATAAATTACAGCAAGCATATTTATACACATTTAATAGTCATTAGATAACATCGTAAGTTGATAGCGAGTTCCTGATTGAGTATCGGCTTAGCACCAAAGCGGTGCCGAAATGTCAATAATGTATGCGTCACTTTCGTACATATTTTAATACATATGTATGTATATTCGGACACTAACTCATCAAAAGTGTGCTATATGTATGCACATCTGTAAATATGTACGCATGTTGTTAAAACTTGAGACGAATGGCAGGACGTTGACATTGTTTTATATCTCTTTTTACGAATAATTAAGATTTATATAATTGAAATTTATGATTCGATTCACATTGAATAAAATTTATGATAGTTTAAATATTCATGAATGCTTTTTGTTTCTTTTTTTAAGTGAGTGAATTTATTATTTTTATTTATTGCGTATTTTAATTATTATTTAAATGATGTGCCTCCACTGTACTATTTGCTCAACTGGTTGCTTATAATTCTAGTTAGGTGATATTTTGTCGCATCCCATGCATTGCATATTACTTAGAAAGCCAAGCCAGCGTCGCGGTATGTGGTGAATATCTTCTCAATGGAATTCACATAAGCTGCAGTTCTCAAATCCAAGCCCAAGTTGTATTTCATAGCGGTCTTCATGATGGCACGTGCCGAACGCTCCATTGTGTAGTCCAAGCCAGAGTGTACGATATCCTTCTCAGATGCACCAGAGATTCGCTTCTGGAATGCTTCCGAGGGAGTGACTGGGATACGGCCACCGACACGACCGAAACGACGTTCCAGGGATTCTTGAACAGATTCTGTTTTGGTGAAAAAAAGACATAAGAAATGACTTGATTATTTAAAATATGTAACACTTATTGGCTTGGTATTTATGGGATTTTTAAAGCAACCAATGTATGAAGAATGCAGTAAAAATTATTGGTACAGAGACTATTTAGCAAAATAAGGTTAACTAAAATAAGGATTTGTCTAAGATATAAAAAAATAATGATTTAGTAGCTTTCATAATAAACAAAGTGCATAATTAGTCAGCTTAATTTCGAAGATTGATTAATTTTTATTTAGCTAAAGAAAACGTGCATAAATGTTTGCATGAATTGGGCGAAAGGATAGGGAACTAAAAGGTATGTACAAATACATACATACATTCATACATACATTGTATATACAAACATAGAAGAAAAATTACGCTTACAAAAATTGGTTTAATAATCTACTTAGTGGTGAACAGAGGAAACTCGGTATACCGCAAATTTTCGTACTAAAAATGGCGCGGTATATCTGGGATATGCAAAACATTTAAAAGTTAACATTCAACAAAAAAAAACAGCTCAGACAAAAAAAAAAATAGTTCGAAATATGAAATGATGCAAAGAGTAGAAAAAAGAACTGTACCGTCTAAAACAAATCGTTCAATGGATTGTTGGACTGAGGCTAGATTTGTAATAGAAGAACGAAAAAAGAAAAACATAAATTACTTCTTTGTGGAAACTTGTATGTGTTTTAAGAGCTAACATTCGATTAAATTTACTTCTAATTAAGATGTGTAATAATGTGCTGCGAAATAAAAAATACTAGAAAAGTTGATGTAGGGATAAAATAAATAATAATTGAATAGCGCATTTAAAACAGAAGTGTTAACTAAAAATAATTGATCTTTTAGTTTTTCTAAAGTTAAAAGCCGACTTTAAATTTAGGTCAATCCTAGACATTTTACCGCCAGGATTGTCCAGAATGAGGCTGAACAGTCCTATTAAGAAATTTGAGTATTCAAATAAGATTTCAGAAGAAGCGCAGCTGTCTATATACTGTCTATATACCGCGGTGTCTGCATTGGTATCCCCGTGAAACTAATACGACAGTGTAAAATGACTGTAAGCAATACGGTTCCACGACAGTCAGGTCTACGTAACCGGAACGACTCAGATTTATATCTGGCCAAGGACCGTCACTTCAGAAACACTTTCCAGAAACCTTTTGGGGAATTTGTATGCTGTTGAAACAACAACAGCAACCGTTAGCAATAACATGCATTCTTCTATGCTTTCCTATTCGAGTTCGAGTTTGAGTTCGCGTCGTTGTTGTTGTTGTTGTAGCAGCATACAAATTCCCCAAAGACTTTTTGGGGAGTGTTGCTGGAGTGACAGTCCTTGGCCAGATATAAATCTGGGTCGTTCCGGTTACGTAGACCCGACTGTCGTGGGAACGACATGTAAGTCTTTTCCAATAACATCTGGCTCGTAATTATTCGGTAAATTATTGTGAGTTTAAGACAATGATATTCTTTATCACAAGATCATGGATTTGAGAAAAATGCCCAAATTTTCTTTTTCACACCAACAAAACCGTTAGAAACAAGTTTTCACAGTGAAAACTTTTTTACAAATCAATTAATTTTCGTTTGAAAACAGAAATAAAAGCTGACCTACGAAAATGAACCTATTCGAAAATGCGACTTTTTTGCATGGCTCATTCCGCAAATGTTTTTTAATCTTTAGCTAAACGTGAGAAAATAGAATCAGATGCATTAATTTAATAACTAAATATTATCTCATTGCCTTTGGCAATTCAATGATCCGAAGATCTCCTCGCCTTATTTAAAGGTATGAAATTTAAACTGCTAACAATATGTCATAAATAACTTATGTCGGATTTAAGAATTAAACGACTAAATTCGGCACAAAAAATACGTTATCATTACGTTAATAAAAATTATGATTTTCATAGACAGCATTTTTAGATGTCGCATTTTTTCATTTCATTTCAACGCCTAGTGAACATTTGATATTATATGTACATATACATACTTATGTATACAAATCCGTAACATTTTGATAAAAACAACTTAAGGGACTTTTGAAGGTTTGTTTTGAAGCTTCTGTTAAGGAGGCATCTTAAACTCCACCCATAGCCAGTTTTATTCGTTAAAATATTGTTTGGGGACTCACAGAAATATTGCTTTAAAAAGGAAATGATCTAACTTGAGATAAGTTGTTTTATCAAAATGTCACAATATACATATATAAGCTTACCAATAATACTTAAAGTCAATGAATATGGAATTTCAAAAAGCATTAACACCTTATTAGAATATATCAATCAATCATATATGAGCACCAACTGATTGGAAAGTATGGAGAAAGAAATAAACAACAACAATATAAGGAAATCAAATAATTCAAATAGAAATTGATGAAGACGTGCAAAGATGTCGATTAATACTGTGAAAGCATATCGAGCAATCGCGGGAGCACGCTAGCATTTTTGAATGAGCCGTATGCTTTGCATTGTGTAGATTTTTTTCTTGTAATGCCGTGGCATAAATAGAAGGTTCAAGAATCTAAAAAAAATTAAGAAAAGAAAATATAATAACTAGTATCGTCGCACTTACCAAGCAGATGATAGTTGGATTCGCGTTCATATTTGAAGGTTAAACGTCCGTAAGAGACGTGGTTTAAGTTTTTCAGCCATTCGAAGAATGATACGGTTACACCACCGGCGTTTATGTACAAATCGGGAATAACCAAAATGTTGCGTTCAATTAAAATTTTATCGGCTGCTGGCGTGGTTGGACCGTTGGCAGCCTCGGCAATGATCTATTAAGTCAAGAGAAAACGGGATGGAGAATTTTCGATTAAATGTAAAGTTGCTGCAATTTAGAGTAGGAAAGTTCAGTGGGGAGTAGGGCTGCGATTATCTGTGTATTTGGATACCCGTTCAGATATTCGTGTCTACGGAAAAAATCGGATATCTGGTTAATATCCGTTCTATTATCCTATCCGGATATCCGGTTCAAACACAGTTAATATCCCTTAATTTTTTTATCATGATATCCGGTTAGTATCCTTTTGTAATCCGGATTTTTCAATCAGATATTCGAATTATACGGATAATCAAAAAATTCGGATATAACTCCCAGGCCTAGTGGGAGGTTAAAAAGCTCTTGAAATAACCCAAATGAAAAGCTCGATTTTTGAATTAAATACCGTACAGTTTAAGTGCCTTAGTTACTTTAAGGGCTAGGTTTTCAGTGCCTGTTCAAACTTAGATCACGTAAACTGCGTTCATATCTAACAGCTGGCTGACTAAAATAAATCATCTTACCACTCGGTAGGAAAAATAAACCAACACAAACAAATAAATCGGTTTAAACTATGTTTAAACCACAGTAAGATTTAACCGTGCTCTGAAACACTAGCCCTAAGCGAGAGATTCCATAAATTAGGTTATTTTTATTTTTTTTTTAAATTAAAACAAAATAAAAACATAAACGAATGGGGTGTGACCATGCCCGAATACTCAAACTATTATAAAAATATCTATTTTTATTTGAATTAAAAGTGGTCTCTCAGCTCTAATAGCAGTTCCAACTCTAATTACAGCTCAACTATTAAGTTAAACTTACCTTAGCTTGGATCTTGTGTGCATTCTCGCTGGTGATGACTTTCTCAACAGCAGCTGGCACGAAGATGTCACATGGTTCAAACATCAAATTCTCACCCTCGTAGGCCTTAGCTTTCGGGAAGCCGACAATGGTGCCGTGTTCGTTCTTGTAATCCTCCAATTCCTGTTAGATAATGCATTAAATTACTAACCTCAATGCCAAAAAATACCACCGAACTATGTATCATACAAACCTTAGGATCAATACCCTCCGAATTGTAGATGGAGCCATCGTGCTCAATAATGCCAACACAGGTGGCACCGGCACGGGTCAAGTAACGACAAGTGTGCAAACCGACATTACCAAAACCTTGCACAATGAAAGATTTGCCGCCCCAGCCAGGAGTGGTGCCTGAAAATACAATCAATAATGTACTTTTCAACCGAATTTACATTTGCATCTATTTTACCAATCATGCTCATGTAGTTGGCTTCATTGATAAAGTTCTCCAGACCGTGGAAAACACCACGACCCGTCGCTGATACACGCCCATGGATACCACCCTGGTTGATAGGTTTACCAGTTACACAAGCATGTGCATTGATATCTAAATGGCCAATCGTTTTGGCATATGTGTCGGCAATCCAGGACATTTCACGCTCTCCCGTACCCATATCCGGTGCTGGCACATCAACACCGGGTCCAATGAAGCCTTTCTTCGCTAACTCAAGGGTGAAACGGCGGGTAATCTTCTCTAATTCATGTTCGGAGTACTCTTTGGGGTTGATCTTGAGTCCAGCCTTGGCACCACCAAATGGTACATCGACACAGGCGCACTTAAATGTCATTAGTGCCGACAAGGCTTTGACTTCATCACGTGAAACATCCAAAGAGAAACGAATACCTATTTATATAAGATAGAATAATATAAAAATTCATATTTGATGAACAGGTGGCTTAATTTACGAATTAATATTTTATGTACATATATCAAAATGCTAAGTAAAAGAGGCTGAACTAAACAAAATTGGTACTAATACCACTCCAAAGTTAAAAGAAAACCCGCACGCAAAAGTGCAATTTAAAATTTAAATAAAATACAGAATCCGACATTTGCACGCAAATTCGTTTGGGTTTTGGTGGGTATTCTCTGCAAAATTCACAAGTCTCATCGGTAGCCGCTATTACCAAGGAAGTCAATCAAATCAATGAAGTCTAATCAAAATGTTTTCTATAATTACTGTTATGCACTTTTACCTGTCTACCGGTATTAATCATATGTCTAAAAATACCGTACCACTACATGTACAAATTATTCTAATATGTGATATGTAGCCAAGTGGATTTCGTCTCAAAACATACGTATATGCAGTAGCTGATATGTTTAGTTTTTCATTCTAAGTAGTTGGAAATTGACGAAAGCTACCAGTTGGACAGCGTCCAACTTATTCGCTTTTTTAAAACCTGCCAATTGGTTGAACATGTAAATTCGTTAAAAGGAAAGGGAATCCAAGGTGGCGACGTCTAGTCTTTGGTGTAAAAATTTCAATCAAATAAGAAGGTGTTAATGTAGAGATCGGTCAATGCGGCAGCATGTGACGTTCGGCCACAAACAGCAGGCGAGTTGTGTAATTTCTACATACATATGTAGAAGATAATACATTATGAACTGATTTCACGTGCGCATTGTGACCAGATGATCTAAAAAAAAAACCAACTGACTTTAATAAAGGCCGAAACAGACACAAAAAAAAAGAGGAAAATACATAAGTAATTTTCATGCCTAAAATTTTATGCACAATTCTACAAGTTTAGTTTATATGCACTTTTTAGCCAATCATCTAAAAACTGCATGGCACAAGTATATATATATACTTATACTTATACTTAGCCTCTACATAGTTGAAAATATACTTCGAAGATTTTAGTGTAAAAAACTTCCGTCATGGCCATACACCAAACCATATATGTATTTTTCTTTAGTTTGTAACTTGATTTGTAAGTGTTGAGTAAATTATCACCCTTATTCTAGAACCCGAATTTTCGTAAATCGTAATTCGTAGCTACGTTACGAAAAACGAAAAATCGACATGCAACCCTTGCGGAAACCTGTGCACGTCCTAGGGTGTCCCGTCAAAAATTTGTTTATTTCAGCTACACTATCGCAAGAGGCATCGAAATTTGCGTAATTTTACACATGTTTAGAAAAAGGTAAAAAAGTCAGAATTGTGTGTCATTTTGAGGGCTCTACCACGCCATGAAGTTTTCCACGTATTTTATATGAGAAAAAACACTTCTTCGTAGAAATATAGATAAAATCCTTAAAAGTCAATATTTTTCAATTTGCAAACTCTTTTACTTTTTAGAAGACTTCAAAGAATAATATCCAGTTATTTATTTAACCTTTTTTTAATATTAATAATTTTTTTTTATGGTTCCCCCATTTAATTATTTTGGGGATTTTGGGGACCTATAAAAATAGTTAGTATTAAAAAATCGTTAAGCTAACAATTAGGTATTATTCTTTGAAGTCTCCTAAAGAGAAAAAGAGTTTGCAAATTGAAAAATATTGACGCATCTACATTTGTCAGTTTCCGGTTGAATTGTTGCAGCACAAGACATAACTCCTCCTATACCGGAATAACCAGTTAATGCAATAACAGCTTCTTTCAAGCCATTGAAAATATGTATTTTGTTAGGTCTACCAGCTGTTGCGCTTGCTTTTGTCTTGGACCGCGCTTAGGGATTATAACCCTTACTAAGTAGAATTCTCGTCTATGTGTTGCCGGAGAAGAGAGCCTTCCGAAATTCCGAAAAGGTATACAACATTTCTTGGGCATATAACTCAGGCAATGCCATCCACAGTATTTTTGCGCAGAACCCACATTGAAATTTACAAAAAAATGAATAGTGCAAATCGAATTTATTAATAAATTTAAAATCTTTTAGTTTAAATTTGTATCCTTTGACTACACGTGTATATTAAAGTTTATAGATACGGGTCATGCCTTTGGACACAACAACCGAAAAAAACATTGTGCAAATAACTAAACCGGACCCAAGTTTCGCGATAAGGGGCAACAACCACTTCTTTTTTGTTTGTTTGGTCGTTTTGCCGAGGGGTGACCGCTATTAGAAGAAACCCTTTTTTGTTTTTTATATTTTTTGAAGTTGGTTTGAACCGGGCTTGAACCCAGGCTCTGCGGAATGGTAGCGCGCACTGCTAACCACTACACCACAGCAGCCGCCTTAATATTCATTTATCTGTTGAAAAATATTACAAAAATAGATAGAAGCTCTAAGTTTTGTCTATGGAAATTTGTACTTCATACATAACGTTCGTATCTGTTTTTGAACAAAAACTGGACATTGCTGCAAAAAAATCGGTTTCGCAGTATCTTTACTTAAAAAAAGCATTCTTTACAGTACAGTATTTACGGAAAAAGTTTCTCAATAAAATAAAGGAATTCCTGGTACTATGTTTACCCGTTTTAACCCGCGACAAAATGATACGATCTAATGCTAGATTTCCACTAGGCATTAAATGGCAAAAATTGTAATGACAAGTTGGGCATTAAAAAATATTCGTGTCATTACGATCAAAAAATAGTCCATTAAATTCATTCCACATGACATTTTTTAAATGCATCCAATTTTTCGGCATTCCAATGCCTAGTGGAAATTCGGCATAACAATTTACATATATTTAAATCTAAATGTCTAGCTTTGTACAAAAATTAAAAAAATTCAACAAAGTTGCACCTTATAGTGTCTACAAAATACTGTTGATTTTCGATTTTTTTGTTGTTACTATGTCCGACAATTTTTTTTCTATGGAATAAAATACCAGATTCGGCAAAAAAAAGCTAAGCCTATTGAAACTTGAACTTTATTACAAGAATTTAATGAGCTACAAAACTGCATACCATGGTACAATTATTGTAGGTATTGTCTTTCCAGAGAGTTTTGCTTCACATCGAAATTCGTGCTCCCTTTGTTCCATTTTGACGCATTTCAATGTTGATTCTTTTACTCTTAGTTAGCTATGCTTTTCGTTTTCGCTTAATTTAATTTTTATGATTTTTCTAAATAAAAGAAAAACGATTAAAACAAAGAGGCGAATACAAATTTTTGATTTGTTTACTAAGCAAATGTTTATTTTTCGACTTTTGCAAATTAAATAAGTTCTCTGCAAGATGGTCCGTAAAAAAAAAATACGTGGACATGTATGGTATATGCAAAATGTATTCAACAAAGTGTGATTGAATTTGACCTTGCTCTCAGAAGAACCATTCTATAAAGTCAAATTGAAAAAATTTTGTATGAATTTTGAATCGATTGTTTATATTTTTTGCCATAATAGTACCTTAAAAAAGAGCCTACCTGAGTTGTTAATGACACCTTGGGTATATGGCAACGGTGGGCAATTACGGCTCTCTGAGCCAAATGCGGCTATTTTTTCTTTCTCTTTGCTTAGGGCATTTTGGCTCTTTTTACATTTTAAAATACACATTTCTTTGTTGGACATTCTTTTCCATTGTGTTTTTTTTTTTTATTTTATTCTTTTTATATACACATACGCAAATTGAGTTCGGAATATTACCCGCAATTGGAGAATGAAAATTAGCTTTCTGACTTGATGTTCTTTACCGATATGATGGAACATTTGCAATACATACTCGAATTTGTCTCTACAAGGCAAGAATAAAAATCTTTTTGATTATTTTAAGTTTTGAAGCTATACTACGTCTGTTTATTTATGATCTCAAAAAAATAATATTTCATCATTTTCCATGGCTAGAAAAAATATTGCACATAATTTAAAAGCAGATGTTGAAAAAAGATTTGCCGATTTGAAATTATTTAAATGTACGTTTGCATACTTCATAAACCATTTTTTATGTAACATAATTGAGGATGAATTTACAATACTCCTTTTTAAGAAAAGCGAAGAAGAGCTGGGGTTTTTGGAATTAAAAGAAGATTAGGCACTGGAAAGGCAACATAAAGCTTTGCTATTGCTTGAATTCCGGCGGATTTAAAATATCCGCTGTTGAAAACAGCTGCGTTTTTGACTTTTTTTCAAATAACTTGGTCTTGAAAGTTCAAATATTTTTAGTTTCTTCTCAACAAAAATTCAAAATTGTTGAAATCTGTTTGCATGCGAAATCTTTTTAGTTTTTATTTTTTTGAAACAGGTTAACAAGTTAAATGAATTAGATATTACAATATGGGTATCAATTGAAATGATTTTGAAAATACTTTACTTTTAAACGGCACGTAGAAGGGTTGCCAGAATCAAATTCACTTTATTTAAGGGAATAAGGTAACTGAAGTATGTATATCAATATGGGTATCCGACAAAAGAAAAAAATGGATATATTAAGCAAGAAATAAGTAAAGAGTCACATCATTTCCTTAAAGAGTCCAGTAATTTAAATGGAATGTAATCAGAACATATCACTGGTGGATAATGTATGTATTTGTAATAAAATAACAAATACGATGTCGTAAACCTTTGTTTTTTTTTAAACTTTGGTATTGTAGTTTAACTAAATTTGACTTTACAACAGGTGGCAACCCTCTTCGTAGTATTTGCAAGCCCAAACCTTATTAAACGTCTTTGGTCTGACTCTCGTATGTATTTCAATAACCTAATTCCTTTAATTCCAATGGAATTTGATTTTTTAGCAGGTGGCAACCCTCTACTACATGTTAAGAAATAAAACCTTTTCATACACATTTCTATTGATACCCGTCTCTTAATAATTGATTTAACTTATTAAAAAATTTGAATTAAATTATTCAACAGGTGGCAACTCTTTAAAAAAATAAACCACCTTTGTCAACAGGTCAAGCTTTTTAATCTGACACTTCATTTTTGAAAATAGAAGGAATCGTGCAGATCTGATGG